CATCACCACCACCAACACTAGGTACCACCGCCAATTCATCATCACGACCACCACCAATTTTTCAATGATTACCAACTCCACCATTACTGTACCATCAACAACAACATTTTCTCACCATGTTTAATATCGCTGTCGTTTCTACAACCACAATATTCACCAAAATCATTTCCATTAACACTATTATCGGAACAAAACACCAACAAACTGACCACAATTCTAAAAAATTCGACCACATGACTTTATTTTGATACAAATGTATAAAAAAGTATATTATAATATTTTTTGACACTTATTTTACAAGAGGCTAACATTGGCCTTGGTATAAGAAATATTATGTACAGTGCTTTGTATTATCTAATAATTCCAGATTAAACCTAAAATAATACTTTCAGTTTACAGACTGAAGCAATGTTGATTATAGTATTGTATACTACTGATTGCAAGGAATACACGCTGTCAAGATTTTGTTCTAAGCTTTGTTCCAATGCACCTGTGACCACTGTGATCACAAGTCGAGAAAAGTATTCCAAAGTTAATAATTAAAACCTCTTGTCAATAATTTTAAAGTCAGGCTTCGGAGCAAAATGGTTTCTTTATGCTGACACAAAAGAAGTGTTTGACAAAAAAAAGGTTAATGAGCAGTGGTGTAATGCCTATGCGTTCTCGTGCAGCGGTCCGCAGGGCCGGCCTAACCATAGACCTACGGTCCTCGATCTAGCACCCTGACCCAAAAGGGCTGTCTTGATACACAGCATAATGTCTCTGCATCCGGCCCCACCATTACGCCACTGTTAATGAGGCACAGACTTGAATAATTAAAAAACTGGGTGGAAAGGGGGCATAACTGCCCTTTTGTCTACCTTTTGCCCAAGTTTTTAAGTAATGTATCTCATTAACAGTTCCCGGGTTTTACACCAAACACCCATTTGTGTCTTTAAAATATGCACAACATATCAATCCTTCCTCCAGAGCCTGGCTTTAAAGAGAGATAAGTTGTTGCAAGTACAGTATTTACATCATAATTGAGCAATATGGGAAACTTCACATTATTTAACTTTTAACAATTACAAAATTGTAAATATGTAATGTGCACTTCTATAACTATAGGTTGATTAAAATATTCATTGTTCATAATTGATAACTTTAGTGAGTAGCAGTGAATTTATTAGGCCGTACATTATGCATTAATATTGCACACCTGAAATTGGCATACTTAGTAACAACACTTATGCATGCGTTAACACATTTTAATGTTATGATTCAAGGGTTGTGTTCACGGTTATCACACGTGCAATGGAACGCAACATTATAAAATAATTCACTCATCATCTACACATAATTTCTTATACAACTAATATACATTAATATCATAACTAATTTCAGACAATAAAATTGCCTTGTATCTTGTATCTCATATAACAAAACACAGATTTTCCCTCCAATTAAAGACCACATTTTTGACCAGATTTTTCTCCAATTAAAGACCACATTTTGAACCAGATTTTCCATTGTCATCAGCAACTTTTTGGAAAAATAATTATGAGGCTATAGAGAAAAAGATATTGTTAATCCAAAGCCACAGCAAGGGACCTCTAATTGGAGGTGGTGAAGGGGTCTTTAAATAGAGGAAGATCTGTAATAATGACAATAATTTTTCATATTTTTGTTATTATATTCAAAGGTTCACTATCTGTTCAATAACCTTATTCAGTCCTTGGTCAGTGATGTAATCTATTTACAAAAACCTAAACAATTCAATTAAAAAAAAATTAAATTGCACATTTGAAAGGTTGAATGTTATTAACTATACTATGAACACAAGTCAAAAAGCAAATAGGATTTCACTTTAATTTAAATTGATCCTTAAGTTGGTTACCAGCAAATTTAAGGGCCTATGCATAAGACTAAAAAAAAAAAATAGTATTACGTCCTTTGATAAGCAACATTTTTTAAATATTTAATTAAAAGTTTAATTAAGTTTATATTTAATATATAACTATTATATAAATATAAAATTTTATTTTCAATTGGTTTGCTCGATACAGAAAGTAGAGCTTGGGATCCCTTCGTCCAGTGGTGGTTCCATTTGCGATGCGTTAGGATCAACATTATTTAATTTTATTAATTAATCCTTGTAATAGCACCCTATAAAGCATATCTATTGTACATTGGTTATCTAGGTTGATTCATTTTGGTCTTGAATTGCATTTTTTAAACATCATGAATACGGTACTCTACTAAATTTTGATAAACCTACAGGTCTTCCTCCAATAAAAGACCACCTTAAGCCAGGCAAACGAGACAAACTCATCTCCGCTCCCTGTAAGCACCAAACGATGCAACGCTGTCTGCTGTCATTGGCAGTAGTAAGGGATCGCCATTAAAAATAATCCACGCGTATCTTGGTGTTCTCCATAAAATCGTTTCGGTCAACAACTGTGAGTGCCCGGTTTTAGGGACAAGGTTTTCATGGTCTTTAGCAGCTTTGGTCTTAAATTAGAAAAATTAATTATTATAAAGATAAAAGATTTGTGTTCATCTAGGGCCACAGAAAAGTGGTCATTAATTGGAGGTGGTTTTTAATTTGAGGGAGAACTGTGTTTACTTGCCATCTACAATACCATCAAGTGCTGTCAAGTAAAGTGAAATAAAAAGCTAAGATGAAAAAATACCTATGAAATTATAATTGATATTGCAAGTACTAAAAATATAGCATCATATTTGAAAATTTATAAATAGTATTGAGAAAAGCATCATATAATAAAGGAAGGAACGGCATCAGAAAATGATTCATGAAAAATTGTCCAGGCCTATTTTTCCCTAGTTCTCTGTAGTACAGACTACCCCGGACCAGTTATATCAGGAGGTAGTGGATTCCCCTTCCCTGGTTACACCAAGTAGGCATGTTCAAAGGAGGCTAATTATTAAGCCCTGAAATAGCAGTCTATTCCTCATCTTCTGTAGTGCCCTTTGTTCAGTTATGTTTTGTTCAGTAAAAAATTTACTTTAGACAATTTAAGTCTGCACTGGGACGACAATTTTTTTGCAGCCCGAGAAAATGAATTAAAACCCACCAACCATCTTTGGCTAGAAAACACATTTGTTTTTTTTTTCAGCCCCACACCAATTACTTGTAAAAAGTAATATTAAAACTGCGCATGAAGCGGTATGAAAGCAGTGCATGAAGGTAGTTGGAAGCACATTGAAAACATCAAAGTTTTCGTGTGGCCCTTGCTGTTAAACCCAAAATTCACTTTGGCCCTCCAACCCATTTTTATGTCAATTCCTGCTACAACTTCACATCCATTACAGATTACAATCTACAAATAAGTTTTCATATTTGTTTGCAATTTTGAGAAATTTTGTAAAGGTACCATTGCGAGATGATGACACAGTGGCCATTATAACTTAAGGAAAACTTAAATAGCTACTTCTAAGCTTTAACTACTAACTTCAACAAAGTATTAAAAATAAACACATTTGCCCTGGGTGAACAAAGTGTGAATGCAGTCTCAAGTGACATTTGTGTATTACTGTTTTACCTCTAAATATCGTCCGTACATGCCTATAATAATGGAGGAAATATATATTAATCTCTCCATGCTATAATCTAGTTGCAATGGCCTGTAATGCAGAAGACGATGCCATCATTTATTTTCAATAACTGTACCAAAAGGATTTTTTAAGTACACACAGGAACTAAGGCATGAATGACTCTTCTTCTAGAAGACTGCTTTGCAGACTTCTGAAGTTTGTATAAATGCATTTCCATAACTATGTCTTCAGATTTCCGTAGTAAATGTAAAATTTTCAGCTGTGGAATTTCAAACAAGCTGGACAGGATGAAGACTGTCTCTTATACACATCTGATGTGTATAAGAGACAGATACAGAAAGTAGAGCTTGGGATCCCTTCGTCCAGTGGTGGTTCCATTTGCGATGCGTTAGGATCAACATTATTTAATTTTATTAATTAATCCTTGTAATAGCACCCTATAAAGCATATCTATTGTACATTGGTTATCCAGGTTGAGTCATTTTGGTCTTGAATTGCATTTTTTAAACATCATGAATACGGTACTCTACTAAATTTTGATAAACCTACAGGTCTTCCTCCAATAAAAGACCACCTTAAGCCAGGCAAACGAGACAAACTCATCTCCGCTCCCTGTAAGCACCAAACGATGCAACGCTGTCTGCTGTCATTGGCAGTAGTAAGGGATCGCCATTAAAAATAATCCACGCGTATCTTGGTGTTCTCCATAAAATCGTTTCGGTCAACAACTGTGAGTGCCCGGTTTTAGGGACAAGGTTTTCATGGTCTTTAGCAGCTTTGGTCTTAAATTAGAAAAATTAATTATTAATAGAGTTTGTGTAAGAAAAGATACACAATGGAAGCCAGCGCTAGTTGTTGAAAAACACAATACGCCAAGATCGTATATAGTTGAAAGCGATGGTAGATACTACAGGAGGAATCGTAGAGATTTGATTGACAAGGAAGGATGTCAAAATACTAAAGACCGGCGAATAGAACCAAATAGCACAAGACAGAACCGACTTCGCTACCCGAAACGTAACAGAAAACCTGTTACAAAACTTGATCTGTGATTATATAAAAAAGGGCAGAATAATCCCTGTATAATCACTGTGCCAGGATAGTCTACATCTGAGCACAAAAGTTAATGAACATTCGTTAACAGAATGTAGTTATTATTAGTTTGTTGTAGAATTGTTGTATCAAATGAAAGAGAATGTATTACCTGTTGAGGATTGTTTATTAAGGAAAAGGAAACTAAAGTGCTAAAAAGAAATATTAGATAAGTAGATTTTGTAAAAAAAAAAAAAATAAATAAATAAAAAAAAAAATTAAAAAAAAGGGAGATGTAATGAAGGTACTTAAGATTATGAGTGAGCCCTCCATTGTATGATACATAGAGTAAGGACACATGAGCCTTAAGGCAGTTTGATAACAAGATACCAATAAAGGAACATACAAGAAAGTCAGAACAGCCTACTGTATATTATTGTCTACAACATATCATTACAGTACATGTTTTAGCTGTTTTATTCATACTAGCATTATAGAGGAAGTAATTCCACATACTCATAAGCACACACGTAGGATGTTGTCAAAGGGGCGTACACTAAAGTAAGTTTTTATGTTATCCTAAATTCTAGAAAATCTAAGAACATTTATTATAGTAACAAATTTTTTTAAAGACCATTTTTCAAGCTATAATTGGTAATAACTTCATCAGATTTTACCCAACCAAAGTCCAAGGTGTGACTAATGAACTATTTTCCAATTGGGCAACACAACCATAATTTTTTTTGCAAGAGGATAATAATGATAATTAAGACCTGCAAGGGTAAATAATTGTACCACATGAAGCCTGCCCTCTATGTACTGATTTAGATGGTAAACTAAAAATTCACATTTTTTCTAATAGTTTCTCTACAAAATTACATGATACAAAAAATTAAGGTATGAATCTTCAAAGATATATCTACGGCTGCAGATAAATTCATAAGAACTTTGATCTGATTAACAGAGAGCTTATTAAATTTATGCATGCCCTGCAAACACACAACGTTCTTGTAACATTCGCGAACGTTGTGGTTAGGTAGTCACATAATATTTACACAGCGTTGCAGGAACGTTCAAACGTTAAAACGTTGTAAAATTAGGTTCTAAGTATGTATTGGCTCTACAAAATAAGATTTTCAACACCAAACTGTAACATTATTATAATGTTCTTATTTAAACGTAATATTGTTAGCTCGACATAATCCTGAGATAAAAGTTGAAATAATTTGAGTATCCTGTATCCTATTCCTTCTCGATTTTTTCCGGTTCTCCATTCTTGATTGCACATGTTGTAGTCATAGCCTTTTGGCGTTGTCGTATGTTCCAATGCAGGCACTCACCCAGACTGTCAAACCAATCAGAGATCTGATCCCGCCGACACACGCATGCTACTGGATAGATCGACGTTGTGATGTGGACACTAATGAAATAAGTAAGAAATCTGTGCTCATTTGTGGTGTACGACTGAATGGTTTAAAGTCAAAACGGCAATAAATTGGCCTACTGCAAAAACAGAAGTGGTATGCACTAAAACCACAAAGTAGTCCGAAATAAAAGCATGATAGATTTAGATTTATTGTTCAACACAAAAATTTCTTTTCTTGACTTGTAACACCTATATAGAATTCATCAAAATATATAAACACATAAAAAAGTTCCATTAAAATTTTCATACATGGATCAAAATATTAAACCATTTTATAATTTAATTCATATTCTTTGATGGCATAGAAAAAAATTAAATAAAAATTCATATACTGTAATATTTTTATTATTTTATTCTATTCATTATATTTATCATAATCCTTGTAAGGAAATTATAGTTTATTATCTCATTTGTCGGAACCATCTTTTTATTTGAGAAAACAACATTTAATTTTTAACCATCAACTAAATGTCTTCAAAAATAAAGTAAAAAAAATGATTGATCAACCAAATGAGTAGACTTACGCATATCCTTTGTGGATTTCTTGCCTGTTTCTTCCATCGTGTGACACCCAGGCTGTGTGTCGGGCATCAGGAGGTACCATAATCTAATAGGGAAAAATTACCAAAAGAATTTCATTATAAATACAACTATAAATAACAAAATATTAAATTATTTTATAATTTAATCGACATTCTCCGACAATAAAAGTGATTCTCACCAGCAACTAAAAATGCAATACTTCGTAGGGTTGTCCCAAACATCGAGTATAAAGTATTTTAATTTTTTTCTGTACATATCATATCTAATTATATGCACGAAAAATTAAAAACTGAAGCATCTTGGAACACATATTATTGCTTTTCAAGAAACGATCAAAGCAATTGTTGAAATATAACTCTCAAGATATAGGTACACAATATAAAAAAACTAACTTTATAAAAATTGATGCAGTTCTCAAGTTGTTAGGTAGTAAAAGCAACAAAAAAAGAAAAAAAGATTATAGAAACCATATGTAAAGTGGATCATTGTGAAGAGAAATTATGGACCGAAACAAGCTGCCCTATATGTTTGATGCCCTTCTATGGCAGTATGCCAGCCCATTAAGAGATTTGCATAACATCGCAGAAGGCACTTGCCTGCCAATAGTATCATCATCCATGATGTGGAAAGGCACTGGTTATGCACGGCCGTTAAATTTTAAGAAAGTGTGACATTCTGCATTGAAAGCAATTAAGAAATTACATTGGCTTAACTTTTATTAGCTCAACTAATTAATGCCGATGTTAAGGCTGTAGTTAGCGGCGCCCCTACCTTACCACTAAAAAAACAATAATCAATAACATCATTATAATTATCATACCTTAAGCTCAACTCCCGCTGGAATGATGATTGGTCGAAATGAGAGCGAGTGGGGACAAATTGGTGTGATCATAATTGCTGGAACATTGGGGTGTATCATGGAAGCCCCTGCTGCTGCCGCGTAAGCTGTACTACCAGTAGGAGTGGAGATAATAAGACCTAAACAACAAAATGAATAAATAGTAAGTATATGATGCCAACTGAATATGAATAAAAAATTATGCCTTTAAGTAATTTCCAAGTACAACATATTACCCTGGAAATACTGTATTAACTGTTCATCCATCAACTACCAAGTGTCACGCATCAGCCATGAGACTCGTGCTTTCAGGCCTAATCCCAAAAACTTCTGCCAACCCCTTATATCATATTAAAATAGAAATATAATACAAAGCATTATGTCACAATGACCTGACGTTGACTTATACATTATATAATGTTGCACAATTTTATATTAATTTGTTTTGAGTGTTTATAAATTAAATTTTCTTTCCTCAAATTAAGGCACTTTTTTAAAGATGCTAACCATTGTGAGGAAAAGGTGCCAACAACATCTCCCAACATGACAACTATGGTTCTATAGGAATAAAAGGTAGACCATATCATTTACATGAACCAATTCCATTAAATTATATTGCATGCTTCAAATGTCATAAAGGGCCATCATCCACTTGAAATGACTTTCACAAATTTAAAGGTACTATAATAAATTAAACAAGAAAAAAAATAATAAAAAATAAATAAATAAATATTACATACAAATAAATTTCAAACAATGTGGGCAGGTTGAATGGTGGAGGAGAAACGGGGGTACACGGATCAAAATTTCAGTTGTTCAGAATGATTTTTGAGAGGACAAAATTTAATAAGCATCATGATAATGTACTGGCGACGTTCTCCTTTCCAAACACACTTAATGAATTGCTAACGCTGCATCATACTCTGTTATAATTATTCTCCTCGAATTTGCTCTCTCTTGAAACAGGCAATAATTGGTACTCAAATCCCAAGACCGTGGGATGATTACCTTTACATTGTATTTAGAACCATAATATTTAGTAACTAGTGCATTTAGAGTACCGTAACAATCATCTACGCTGCATTGTCACCGGGATAATGATGTCAATGTCCTCAAAAATGCATAATGAGACTACATATACCCTCTTCGCATTGTATTCATTTTGAACAGGATGATGCATAACTTGGTCAATCGTATAAAAAAATCAAACTTTGATTTAAATACAGAGTAGGTTTTGAGCCCCTGGCTCAACAGAAGATCGGAGGATTTTTGCATGTGGTCGATTTATTGCATGTACTATCAGTTATACGTTGCATGCGTGGTTGGGAGATGGCTCCTAATTATTTACATGTTTTAATACACAATCAGTGAAATTTTCAAATAGTGTATGTTGCAAAGTGAGGAACAATTTGTATGTTTAATTTTCGTCAAGGAAATTTCAAAACGATCAAGTCATATTTATTTACCATCTCCTTGAACAGTAGTGATGTGACTACCATCCAGGTACAGATCAAGGTTCGACAGGAATGGTGATGGGCCTCGGTCAATCACAACTTCATTTAAAACCTACCAAAATAAGGAATTAAAACAATTAGCATCCATGAATGCATTACTGTAAATAAGGTCTCTGAAACAAAAACAGACAGAGGAGAAAATAGAAATAAAATTTTATTTGTGAATGTAAATAGGATGGTTAAATGCTTCAAATTTATATAATTAGGAAGGCAGCGGAGGGCATAATAAAAATAAAGAAAAACTCTTTTGTTCCTGAAAACGGGTATCCTAATTTGCCAAAAATAAAATTTTATTTTTATTCAAAATTGTCAATATTTGCAGTCAGCCGGTTCGCTAAACAAGGTATTAAAAAGTCTTGCCTAATGTTAGATTTATATAGTGCTTAATGCCAACAAGACTCAGCACTTTGTATATTACCCTGAGTCACTGGATCAAGCACTTTTGACTTCTTAAAAGACAAGAAAGATGGAAGGTGAATATTTTCAATGTGTGGACTAAAAATCACCTCATGAAATATTTTATCCCATTGCACTCATAATCATTCATTATTTGTATACTAGAATACAGTAATAAAATCACAAGCACCTTGTATGAATTGGAAAAAGCTACAGTACAAATTCTTTTATTATTATTAAATAAGGCGATTCAGTGGATTCTGGTTTGAAACTTCCCCCCCTTAATTTAGGCACACATTAACATATGCACCAAGGATTGTCAATAGTGAATATATCACTGTCCTACTTGTAGGTGACAATCCTTTTCACAAGACAGCATAGACACACGATGCTTCTTTTTACATAAACTAAATCTCAATTTGGAAGTTTACGGAGTGGGGTTGTTTTGGTCGTGAGAAAAAATCCTGCAACACTGACAGGAATTGAACCCAAGGATTGGAAGGCAAGCATCTTAACCACCAAGCTATTCAACTCCATTCCACTTGTAAAGAAATTTTGTGGTAAAAATCTTTTGTGTCCCCCTGACAATAGGTAAATTTGTCCTCCAAAGGATTAAAGCCTACAATCACAATTTTGTTAGTTCAGTGAATTCTTTTTCTGTCACATCAATCTGGCTTATCATAACTAAACAAACTCTACTGAGATTTTAAAAAAACAGTTTGGTATTTGAAAAAAAAAAACAGTTTGGTATTTAAAAAAAAAAAATTAAATAATGGGTGCCAAGTTTGAAGAAGACACATCCAGCAGATCTGGTTAAAGGAGATTTGACATTTAATCTTATTCTGTTGCATATGGTAGCACACAATACTTCAAAAAGACAAATTATAATACAGTAAAAACATGCATCATCATTTTATCAGTGAGTTCCATATCCACCAAGGATTTTGGATGCCATGATTTTCCTCCATTTCGTTCTATCTTTAGCTGATCTTGTTGTTTCCTCATAACTTCTGTTCGTTCATTCACATATATTCTTCACCCATGTTCCTCTTGGTCTTCCCCTCTTTCTTTCAGCTTTTCCTTCCATTATCATTCTTTGCTGTTCGCATTTTCTTTTCTTAATTGTTTTCATCAGTGTTTTCTTCACATTCACTCTGTTCAATACTTCTTTGTTTATTACCGTGTCCATGTACGATACCTTTAACATTCTTCTAAACATCCACATTTCGAATGACTCAATTTTCTTCTCCATCTCTCTATTAATTGTCCATGTCTTAGATGCATAGAGCAGAGTTGAAAGCACAAAACATATTTTCCTGGTTTGAATTTTCGAACATGCACACATCACAAATATGCAGGAGATGGGTTACTTTCTGGGAAAGTTTTGCTTGATCGTGCAAATGCAGGAAGCCTTCTGAAAGACTTGAGGACACACATGATCCCTGACATAATAATCAGTGAAAATCTAAACACTTAAAGGGAGTGAAGCTGTATAGCTTGGTGGTAAATAGGATTACTTTATTTCAGGGTCATGACTTTAAATCCCGTTACCTATGACTAAGATAAGAATAAACTTAATACTTTATAAAGCATTACAAAGTTTAAACTGTTAAGTTTACTCCATGGACGTTTACTCAATGTTGAATATAAAAAATAACAATGATAATACAAGGGACCGAATCTGTAGATTAGTGGTTAAGATGTTAGCCTTTTAATCCTAGATCCTTCCCTCAGTATAAATAATGAACAGAAAAGCAATTTGGCACCACTGAGACTCGAACCAGTGCTGCAGTGGTAATGCGGCACTGGTAATGATTCTCAGACTACCTTACATAAATTTGATAGGTTGAGGGCAAAAATTGTTTAATCATTTAACAGATTTAATTTGCACATTCTCTTTACCCCCTACCTTACTTAGTGGTGTAACAAAGGGGCATGGTCCCCTGGCTGACTTTTTAGGCCCTACTACCCCGAGGATTGGGTCCAAGTAGGAAGCACAGTGAGACATTGGGAAAATCCCCAGCTTAAGCATTTCTGACATTTTATGGGCGTCCTATACAATTTCTGCTTAATCCAAGACCAGGGTTCGAATTTCCGACAGCAACTGCTGTAGAAAGGGCCTTCTACTGCTGTTGTAAATCCCAGGCTCGACAGCAAGCTTGTTGCTGTTGACTCACCTGACCTAGCAATGGATTATACACCTACATTTATAGAATAGGCCTATTCTTAAAACAATTGACAAAGCTTGTTGCTGTAGAAGAAGAATAAATTGCTGTAGTAAAGCCATAGCCCACAGAAACTATTTGCTGATGGAGCATTTTAAGGAAATTCGAACCCTGAAGGCACAGCTCAGCCAATTTGGAGAAAAATGAAAAATGAATATCCCAAGGCTCCCCACCTTAACATCTGGGACCCATGGTTTTAATCAGTGACAGCCCCGAGCTGTTACACATCACTGCCCATACTCACAAAACATCACTGCCCTTACTCACAAAAACTAAATAGTACCATCCTACCTGACATTTAAATTTTAAATTTGGAGGATCAGGATCCTTGTGTTCATTCCCGAATAACATGTCATTATCATCATTATGGTGGTTGTTTGGAATTTTGTCGTCTGTGTATATATGACTGTTCAAACGACTCCTTAACGTTACAGCTAAATTTCCTGCAGAAATAGAAAATAACAATTATTGACTCCTTATTTTCAACATTATAGACTTCCTGTAGAAATAGAAAACGAAAATACAGCATATACTGTAGTTCAAGAATTTGTTATTGTCTGTAAATTACAAAATTTGACTTATTAGCATTGTATAGATAATTAATTAATACAGAACCCTAAAATTCCTTGACAACAAGTCTACTCCCTACATTACATCCAATTTCACATACCAGCATTATTCAAAGCAAATGCGCTGAACCATAGAGATCTCTAGGTCAACGGTTCCCATCGCTGCTCTCATTGTGTTTCAGCAGGAGGGCTGAAATGCGAGTTATGATTGCGCACCGTCTTTCGGATGAGACATTTAAGCAGTTGGTAAAATGAGCCATGTGCACATTAAAGAATGCAGTACACTCTTCAGTAAAGAGAAGGGGATTGTCTCCCGGTGTACTGCCCAATCACCAACAGAGAGACTCAACTGGAAATAAGTCTTCTTCAGAATTTTGTGTTACCTGGGTTTTAAACCGAATAAATTCAACCATCCATCCATCCAGACCCAGTGTATGGTTTGAATAAGTAGCCCAGCGGACATTACCAACACTCTCAAGAAAAATATTTGATTTTGGCATGCAAAGTTGAAAAAATACCTTCTGACTGGCTGTCCCTCCAAATTATTAATAGACATTACTTTTTTGAGAAAAGAGAATTCCTAATGTATAAGCCCTAGGCTTTGATCTTCATTAAATAGCACTAAATGCAATATGACAAACAGAACTTACCCTTGAGTACAGAATTAATGGATTCTTTATAGAAATCAAAATCAAAGGGTGTTAAAAAACCTAGTGATCCTAAAGAGAATGCCATGACTGGTGGAACACTACCCTGAAATGAAAATAACAAAAATACATATTAACATAAATATTACTTAGACAATAAATCAATGTATATTTTATACAATACAAGAAATATGAGGCCTGCAATCTCAAAATCAGTATCCACAGTCAAAAACCTAAATAACAGAATTTCAGAATTTAATGATTCTGCACACCCTTAATTTTTGTGATTGTCATTTTATCGTGAAAATCATGATAAATAAGGCCCCGGGAAAATAAAGGACTTTACAGTATTTCCCAAGTGATGAGGTAAAAAGCTATTACAAAATTTAAAGTACTTTACAGAATTTTCAAACATTACTTTGCACTGGTTTTAGGAGGCATGCCTTATGATTTTTGGTAAATTTCCAATTTTGTTTGTATTTGATATTTGAACTATTCCAATATTGGCTGGTGGCATGTTTGAAAAACAGGGTAATAAAACCAGTCTTGCCTTTACAATGGGAAATGGAAAATGTTGAAATACTGTACCAAATGAGGAAAAAATTACCGATGGCCGATTAAGCAGTGTTATAATACCAGAATTATTATTACGATGAATTTACAAAAATGCCTTTGAAATTACAAAGCAATTGGTTTTATTGGGCGTATGTTTTCGTTTAATATTTTAAACTTTGTTCAACTGTATTGTTCAGCATTTTCTATTGTTGAATCTTTGTACAGCAGTTTAAAAATGTTTGGCCATAAATACCAATTTCTAATCTGCTTTATTGCACAATATCAATAATTGTCATTCTTATTGATTTTCACTTAACTTCCAACAAAAAGCAGATAGAGAAAAAAAATTTACAGGTATTTTACTACTTTTTTCACCCGCCTCTTTGCAGATTAAAGATATACTGCCTGCTATAAAAAATACTTCACAATTCAATTAAAATATTTGCAGTAAAGGTCATTTAAATAAAAGGATATTAAAATAAGTTATTAACTTCCAACAAAAACAGAGAGAAAACAAAATTTGCTGATTTATAGATATTATCTAACTGTACAATAATCCTTAAATTTCATTAATCAATTTAAGAGTCTGCTGTAATGCAGGGAGGTGCAAAGGTGGGCAGAGACACTCAGGCTTGAAATTTTCTACCCAGCCTAAAGCTAATATCATGCTCCTCCACCTAGTTTTATAGCCTCCTTGCCTTCATAAAATCCATTCCTGTTATTTAGAGTTTTACCAATATTATCACCCACCCAGCTTTCGGTGATGCTGATTGGTCGGTCGAATCGGGGAGCCTTCCCGATTGTGTTTGGGACTACTACGCAGTACAACGATTGCGCTGAAAACGCTGTAGCAATTTTACGGAAACCAGGCTTAATAGAGGCCTATATACACAGCAGAGAACAAGCGATTAGGCCTGGTCCATGGCCTACTGTAGCATCAATATTGACTATAGAGAAAGACTACAAACCACGTTGGCTTGGGTCCTTATAGCAAGATGATACAGCGATATTTAACCCATTTTAGTGTGCTCACCTACAATAGCCTGAGGCAAAAGCCATCTTTAAATAAAAAATTCAAATATAAATCAAGTTCTTTTTCTGGAGAAAACATGAATTTTTATTGTGAACTCTGAATGTATTAGGGAATGTTCAATAAAAATTATCCTTGAGGGAAGCAGAGCAGAGGCTCTGCTGCCCTCAATGAAGAACAGTTCACTCTCTGATTCAAGACGCTCTAATTCAAAATCACTGTTTTTTTTAAGTACGTAAGAATGTAGTTATGGTGGATGGTGGTGGGCGGCCACCCAGCCTTAAGGTTTTCCACCCAGCACAAGCTAATTTCACGGCCCTCCTTCCACCTTCATTTAACCCTCCTTGCCCACTTTTAAAATGTCTACAACCCAACCTTAGTTATCTTTAGCTAACAACGCTGAGTACCAACTGACAATCTACAATCTTCAATCTTCTAACACACAGCTAACATTCTACTTGAAGACTAAAAACTCAAGACCACCCCACATGGAATACTCAGCGTATCGGAGAAACCACACACCAGGGACAGATCCAGCAAGGGGACACGGTTACCTCCCCCCCCCCCCCTTTCAACTAAATTTTCAAATTTCAAAGCATATATTGAAATTAGCTCTACTGACTTACTTACTGTATCTATTCTAAGTATGTTGTGCCCTCCCCCTCCACGTTTGATAAATTTTGGATCTGCCCCTGCCCCACACTCTAATTAATGGTAAAATAGGGCATAGCCAACAACATTCTACGACCGCAAAGGGTTCAACCGCAGTACAAAAAATCTCACCTGTTGAAACAACGAAGAAGCGTACAGCAGTGTTCCGTCTCCACCTAGACAAACGATGAAATCAACTTTATCACTTATGTTATCACCTGTGAAAACAGAAATCACCAAATTTTCCATTAGTAACCCAATAGCACAATTGATTTTTCCTTCCCTCAGGAAAAATGTAATATGAGATGTGTACAATCACTTTACTCACACTTGAAATTTATCAATATGTAGACATCAAAGTCACCTTCTGTTTCCAAACATGTACTGTAGGTTGCTTGGGTTAATGCCACCTTGGCTCAGCCCACCCTACATGTTACTTGAACTTTGAACTTTTTCCGACTTTACATATGAGCCACCTACATTCCCTAGGCTGCCCAGAGTATACTGTAATTTGAATTATATTTTTTTTTTTAAATTTTAAAAATTTAAATTTAAATTTTTATTATTATTATTATTATTATCATTATTATTATTCCACTGTATTTAACCATTCCTGGCTGATAATATCTGGCCGTCATAGACTTTATTGACGTAAAGTTGATGTATTAATGATCTTGTGTTCTGTGATTGGTTAGCTCAACTAAATTTACTAGTAATACCTTCAGGTAAGAAAATATCTAAGATTGACAATGTTGAAAATGGATTTGATTGGTCTTTACTGAAGTTGAAAAAGTGTTTTCATAAACATGGGATTCCTCAGGACAAGTACTGTATAAGCCTACTGTACCCCACAAAATCAGCCCCGAAAGTAGGGCCAATCGAGATAATACTACAGCAGGGGTTCCGGGGGATGAAATTTTTGTTTTCTAGACCCTGGAAAATAAACCTCTGAGGTGTTTTGGGCGTTCAGTTATTTTTTCTTTCTTTATTTTATTTTCTGACTTTCTAAAAGGGAAGGAGAATCACAGCCCCCACTAAATCCCCTGTTTTGTATTCAAACAGCAGGGGACAATACAAAAGGTAAAATGTCTACGTTTACTGTGGCTAAGAACTAACATTTTAATTGTTTACTTTATAACTGTATAAATAAATATCGAAGTTCGCTACAATACTACTTTCAATTAAAATTAGTTTAAGAAAATGTTAGCTAGCCAAGTAGTTATTGACAGAAAGTTCTTCATATGAAATTATTCTCAATTTGATAGTCCATCTTTCTTTTGGATTGAAATTATGAAGATTAGTGTGATGTGAATTTGTACTATATTTGAGAACTTTCTTTTTCAGTGGATCTATCCCTCTTGGTTGCTGATTGAATAAAACAAAACAAATAAACAGAATAAAACTGTTTCTATAAAGTTTTATTTGCACTGGCCCTTACTGTAAATCTGCTTGTGATTCCAGTAGCATATTTATTATGTAGAAGTATTAACATGGAGGAAAAGATGAGGGTGAGGAGAGGGGAAGTGCAATGTTTAGGAAATGGGGGAGGGGGCAACAATATGAAGCTCACGCTGCCATGCCCACCTCCGCCCCACCATGGTTGGTGTAAATAAGTGGGAAACAATCAAGGTCGCCACTTAACTCATGGTACATGGTACTTTTCTCTTTTATTTTTTTTAACTCAAATTTTTCTATCTCCTTTTTATTTTTCAGCTTGACCCCTCCCCCCACCCCCGCTGGATCCGCGCCTGGAGCATAAAAAAGGTGTAAGTTATGAGGTTTAACTACTGGACTGCATTTTTGCTCAGCAAATTTTCAGGGGAAGGAGTGTTCCCCGAGATTCCCCAGGTACTGTATATACACCACTGGATATTGTGTTTAGTGAAGTCTTTAAACTAGAAATGTTTTAGATCCATGCCTCAATGATGCATTTTTTATTCCTTTTAAATGAGATTTATAATCTGAAGAGAAAAGAAAATAGTATTGTACAATGATAATGTACGCTAAATTTCACATTTGGTAGAAGTTTACATTAAAAAGGATGTCAGGTTAAATATGTTAATCAGATTAGTTGATCGATGGTTAATTCCTAAATCAACAGTTAAAGCAGAAAATCTAATCAATAGTTGAGTTCAGATGTTCAAATTAGCACAACTGACTCTGTTTTAATGTCAAAATCAATAGACGATTATTTATAATGTTATTGGTCTATGACAAAATAGCGCTCTCTAGTGGTGGCAAATAACATGGTTGCACGTACTGTACCAGATGGGCAAGAGTAAAACATATTACAGAAGAAATAAACCAAAAAATCAATACCCCCATCAAATTTTGCTATTTGAAAAAAAAAATAATAACCATAATTTTTCCATGGAAAATAAAAATAAGTATGATCTCATAGGACTTATTCAGTGTAAACACCAAGGATAGCCCACGAAAGTCTAGAAGACGACTTATTTCCAGTGGGGTCCTTCTGGTG